CCTCTTACCGGTTTAGCTGAGCATTTCGTTGTTTTTGGACTCTGTATTGTCAATTTTCTGTGTGGTTTGGTTGCATTGGTTATTGTTAAAACTTTGTTGTTTTCAGATTTGGTTGTGCAGGGATGCAAGGTGTTTCCACCTACGCCTCCATCTTGGCGTTGGTCCAGCATTCCTTAATATAATAAAGGCCATATATGAGAGACCTACAGCCAACATCATAATCAATGGGAAAAAACTAAAAGCTTTTCCACTAAGATCGGGAACTAGACAAGGTTGTCCACTTCACCACTTCTATTCAATACAGTATTGGAAGTTTCAGCCAAAGTAATCACAGAAGAAAAGGAAATAAAAGGCATCCAAATCGGAAAGGAGGAAACAAAACTGTCATTGTTTGCAGATGACATGATAGTGTACATGGAAAATCCTATAGACTCTACCCAAAAACTGCTCAACCTAAGAAATGAATTTGGCATAACAGCAAGATACAAAATCAATATCCAGAAATGAATTTGGCATAACAGCAAGATACAAAATCAATATCCAGAAATCAAAGGCATTTTGTATACTAACAATGAAACAACAGAAGCAGAAATTGAGAAAAATCCCATTCAATATACCAAAAAGAAAAATAAAATATCTGGGAATAAATCTAACCAAGGACGTAAAAGACCTGTATGCAGAAAACTACACAACACTGAAGAAAGAAGTCAAGGAAGACACAAATGGAAACACACACAGTAGTCATGGACTAGAAGAATTAACATCATCAAAATATCCAAACTATCCAAAGCAATTTACAGATTCAGTGCAATACATATTAAAGTACCAATGGCATATTTCACAGACATAGAACAAACACTTCAAAAATTTACGTGGAACTATAAACAACCCTGAATAGCAGCTGCAATTTTGAGAAAGAACAAAGTAGGAGGGATCACAATACCTGATACCAAACTGTATTACAAGGCCACTGTAATCAAAACAGCCTGGTACTGGAAAAAAACACGCACATAGACTAATGGAACAGAACAGAGAGCCCAGAAATAAACCCAAGTCTCTATGTGTAACTGATATTTGATAAAAAGGGCAGCAACATAAAATGCATTAAAAATAGCCTCTTCAACAAATGGTATTGGGAGAACTGGACAGCCATTTGCAAAAAAATGAAACTTGAGCACCAACTCAAATCATACACCAAAATAAATTCAAGGTGGATAAAAGACTTAAATATAAGCCATGACACCATTAAAATCCTAGAGGAGAACATTGGCAAGAAAATCTCAGATATTTCACACAGCAACATTTTTACTGATATGTCCCCTAGAGCAAGGGACATAAAGGAAAGAATTAACAAATGGGATCTCATCAAAATAAAAAGCTCGTGCATGGGTGAAGAAAAGAGTATTAAAATAAAAAGAGAACCAACTGTATGGGAAAACATATTTGCCAATGATACCTCAGACAAGCGTTTAATCTCCAAAATATACAAAGAAGTCACACGACTTCACTCTAAGACAAGCAACCCAATTAAAAAATGGGAAAAGGACTTGAACAGATGCTTCTCCAAGGAGAACATACTGAGGATCTAGAGACACATGAAAAGATGCTCAATATTGCTAGCTATCAGAGAGATGCAAATTAAAACCACAATGAGATATCACTTAACACTGGTCAGAATGGCCATCATAAACAAAGCAACAAACAAATGTTGGACAGGTTGTGGGGAAAATGGGACCCTAGTTCACTGTTGGTGGGATTGCAGACTGGTACAACCATTATGGAAAACAGTATGGAATTTTCTCAGAAAAATAAAAATGAATATGCCTTTGGACCCAGCAATTCCACTGTTAGGAGTATATCCTAAGAACCCTGAAACACCAATCCAAAAGAACCTATGCACCCCAATGTTCATAGCAGCACAATTTACAATAGCCAAGAGTTGGAAGCAACCCAGGTGCCCATCAGTAAATGAATGGATCCAAAAACTATGGTACATTTACACAATGGAATTCTATGCAGCAGAAAGAAAGAAGGAGCTCCTACCCTTTGCAACAAACAGCATGGATGGGACAGGAAAGCATTATGGTGAGTGAAATAAGCCAGGCAGTGAAATACAAATACCATATGATTTCACCTTTAACAGGAAGCTAAACAACAAACAAACAAGCAAGCAAAATAAAACCAAAGACACTGAAATAGAGAACAGGCTGACAGTGACCAGAGAGGAGACTGGAGGGAATTTACGGAAAAAAGGGGAAGAATTTACAGGAACTAGTATAAAGAACACATGGACAACAACTAAGGGGGGAGAAATGGGAGGGAGGTGGGTAGCATTAGGAGGGTGGGCTGGGATGGGAGTAAAAGACAGAAAACTGTACTTGAACAATAATTAAATTAAAAAATTCAAGGCTAGAGAAAAGTAGGACTGTTTCATAGCAAACCATAGAGACTAGAACACTTTACCCCTTAGCACTTAACACATCGTCATAGTGATGTTTCCCCCCTAAACTATAATCCTCACAGAGTCTTGACCACCAGAAGACCATTGTGACACTTAGATATTAAAGTTAAAAATATCTTGAGCAGTTTGTTTGAATGAGGACGCTGGCAAGGGCCTAGCATCACTGCCTCTTAAATCTCCTTTCTGTAGGTTTTCCCTATATGTTTGTCTTTATTTTCCCCTGCAATTTTTAGTACAGAAATTGGTTGGTGTGTGTTCCTCAGCTTGCTTGTTCTGACTTCCTCCCTCTTGTATATTTCAGTATGTCTTTTAGTTCCTTGTATTTCCTGTACGTTGGTAGTCAGAACTAACAGTGTTGTTCCGTTTATTTCTTAATTTCTGAAAACTGACTAGAATCACAAAACAAGCTTCAGGTTGACAGATTTCTGCACATGGGTTAGGTGGCTGTCATGAGATGTGCTCCATCAGAGCCCAGGGAAAGCAGGTGGAATTATATCTGGAATGGTTTTGGGTTCTTCTGTCTTGAGTCTGCCAGATTGAGTGGAGATGGCTGAGGAAGCTGGGGCTGAGAACCTCTTTACCTTTGGCTTGCAGGTGGAAGAAATCAAGGCCCTGGACTAGAAATGGTGTGTCCCTCCACATGTCAAGAGTGTGGCATTGTCTTGGGCATTGCTCAGATTCCCAGGGAGGAAAGGGCTCTTGGTGAGGCCTCCACTTGTCAGGATTAATGCCTGCTCACTCAGGTGGTGGGATATGATTGTGGGCACCCTGTCCTTGTCTCACTTCCAGCTTGGGCAGGAGCTGGCTGCCCTGTGATTCTACATGGTTCAGTCTGAGGGATCCAGACCAAGTTCTTCCAGAAGGGTAGAGGCCATGGTCTCTGTGGGGAAAACCCTTGGGGCTCTTGATTGATTTGGAGATTTGAAGCTGGCCCACTGCTGAGATTCCTTGGTCTGACTTCATAAAATAACTCATGTCTAGCAATAGTTTCAGAGTTATAGAAAACATGCAAAGACAGTACAGGGTTCCACATACCTTCCAATTTTTCTTATTACTTATATATTACTTATACTAATTAGTATGGAACATTGTCAAAATTAATTAACAAAGACTGTTATGGTGTTATTTATTAAAGTCAATACTTTATTTCACCATTTTCTCATGAACATCTTGTCGACCTTTTCTGTCCCAGGATTCCAACCAAAGCATCCTTCTGGTCTATGACAGTTTCTCAGCCTTTTCTTACTTTTCATAACCCTGGACATTTTCAAGGAGTCCTGGCCCCAGCCTAATGCTGAGTAATAATTAAAAAGAAAAGATAGTGTTGCCTAAAAGCTCTTTGGGGAGTTGGTAAAGCCTTAGGCACTACTTGGGTAAAAATACAAATGTCACCTAAAAATAAAAAAAATAAATAAGCCAAATGTCACCTATAAAGTCAGAACTTTGTTCTTGTCAGCCTGAGAGTATACACCCCATGTGCTCCATTATTCAGAATTTCTGCATCATATCCATGTCCTAGGATGTACATATCTGCCAAATGCCTCCTTTTCTGACTTCCTGATGCTCACAACCCTGTTGTAACCTACAGAGTAGGGGCAGGATGCAGGGTGGGAATGCAGAGTTGCAAATTCTTGAGCAGCCCTCTCCTGTGGGAATATGATGGAGCCATGTGTGCCACTGTACATCTTCAGGGACCTTTGTTCTATAATCAGTAAAAAGAGCAGGTGGGATTGATTTTGCAATCACAGCACGTTACCATCTCTCCAGGGCCGAGCAGCCCACATAGCCTAGCAGCCCACATGGCCAGGGGTGTGCCCACCACCTGCCCTGCAGCTGCTGCCTGAACACACTGGACTAGCAGCTGACTTGACCAACCTTCCCACAGGTATAATGCCCAAGATACTACAACTTTCTGCCCCAGCTAAGGCAGGCTATGGACCAGATCAGCAGTGGCTTCTTCTCTCCCAAGGAGCCAGACTGCTTCAAGGACATCATCAATAGGCTGCTAAAGTAGGACAGGTGGGACTGGCCTCCCCTTGGTCCTATGTCCTCCCTCACTGACAGGTCAGATAGACAAGTCCCTGTGATGGGCTGGAAATTACACGTTGTTAGGGTTGAAAGCTGGCCTTGAAGCTTGCTCACACACATCTCCCTGACTGTGGCCCATGGGCTGATCCTCAGGCTACCCACCTTGCTAAGTTCCACTACATCCAGGGCAAGATCTTGCAGTGCCTCTTGTGGTGCTTGGTGTGCTGTGGGGGCTGTGGTGGCAGAAACTGTCTGCTTCGCAGTCCAGCCCCAGGCCCCCAGCACTATCTGGATGTGACAAGCAGGAGGTAATGTCACATGGGAATGGTACGAAACGATTCCAGAGCCCTTTCTTGTGGGCAGGACTCCTCTGGGAGGTGGGTGGGGCTGGGCATAACCCTATAACAAATTTGGGCCCTTGGTGACACAAAGCGATTAAAATTGAATTAACTATACTTGCAGTGTCATTAGTGTTTTATTACAATGCAGTTGACACATGATTATAACTCACCTTTGATTACAGACTTACTAAGCTGGAACAGATTGGCAGTGCCATTTGCCATATGATAGTACTTGCTCCAACCAACTGGTAAATGCGGTCTGGTGAATGCTGAGAATTGACTCCTATTCCACTTTTAGTTGCTTTTGGGTTGGTTTTGTTTGTTTCTTTTTGATGAATGCTGTCAGCTGGCTTCAACCAGACCAGATCATAATAACCACACAGGTACTGGGACCGGGAACTAGGCCCTGGCCAAGGTCTGATCAAAGAAAGAATTTCATCAGTTTTATGAAATGCGCTTCTGACTCAATTATAAGTGGAATGATTTCTATATTCATAAATCCTGCATGTATCACCAGTCCTTGGCCCAGCTGGACCTGAGAACAGATGGCTACAGAGAGCCTGTTGCCTGCCACCCTGTGCCCTTTTCCCTGGGAGGTGAAAGGAAGAGACCTTTCACGTGTGCAGTTCTAACCTACATGCACTGGGAGGGTGCATTATAAACAGTAATTTCTTTAAAGGATCATTGGATTAAAATGAGGTTTTTTTAAGAATAATATTCCCAGGGCATTAGCATTTCACACAGAGCAGCCACCATGGTCAGGAGGGCTACAGAGCATGAGGACACAGCCATGGCCTGGTGGCTGGTTTACTGATGCTGTCTCCTCTTTCAGGTTCAAGGTGTTTGTGGATTATGAAGCGTATGTGGCTTGCCAGGCCAGGTGGACTAGCTGTACCAGGTAGGGTTCTCCGACCCCGGAGTTGGTAGGGGCAGTCCTGTTTGGGAAGCATTGGGGTTCATCTGCATCCTGCTGTCTTGTGCCACTCCTGGGAGGTCACAGTTCAGTTTGTAGCCCATAGCAGGGTGACCAGGGGCTCAGGAAGCTGAGCAGCATTCTGGGTTCAGGCTCCCCTGCACCTGGTGCTTCTTTTGTTTATCCATCTATTTTTTTCTAGAGAGGGGATGTAGAGAGAGATAAATAGATTTGTTACTCCACTTATTTGTGCATTTATTGATTGCTCCTTGTATGTGTTCTGACCCAGAAGTGACCCTGCAGCCTTGGTATATTGGGACGATGCTCTAATCAGGTGAGCTACCCAGACACAGCGTGGTGTTTCTTTACCATCTTCCATTCAGGAGCTGTCTTGGCCATCTGTCTGCTCTCATCTACCACACTGGTGCCTTTTGATTCCTGGGGTCAAGCTGCTGTCTACCTGGCACAAATTTCCCTTACAAAGGGGACAGAGATAGGCTGTTCCCTAGTCTGATCATTCCATGTGGGTATTGTCAGGGAGGCATGGGTGCAAAGCTCAGCCTAAGTGGAGAGACAGGCCTGGGAGCAATGTGCACACAGAAAGCATGTCTAAGGTGAACACCTTGGAAAGGTAAAAGCTTCAAAATCAGTAGATTAAGGGGACTTGCAGCTGTGTGGAGCAGAATTTCTAAGGCAGGATGCCAGCTCCCCACTTGATGGTGAAGGCTATGGAGAGAGCCTGTGTCCCAGGTTTCTGTGTGGAGCATGTGCCTGACCCATGGGACTGGTGCCCCTGCTTTGATGTGGCCCATAGGGAATTCACAGGGGATATCATGGAAAGACCCAAGTCCTGAGTTGGGGAAGGTGAAAGAGGATGTCCCTAGGTGCCTGCTTTGCTTCTTTTCCTAAGTGTCCCACCTGTGCACCCCCTAGAGGATGGCTGTGGAGGAGAAACTAGAGATGGTGGTATGACTGTGCAGAATTTTGGTTCAGATGGTTTTTTCCCAAACTGTTTTAAAAGGTTCTTGGATGAGGCTTCAGGGACTTGTACATCTGATTTGGTGCCAGTCTCAGCCTCCTAGTCTTAGGAAGCTGCTGTCATTGCCTGCACTTGACAGCTCTGATGTCCCCTTCTGTATCAGAACAGGTTGGCCTTTGGGAGGAACTCTTGCTTACCTTAAACTGAACCTCAAGGAAAGTGGCCCCTTCAGGGAGGTCTCTCCAGGTGTGGCTGAAGTTTGGGGGCAACTGTCAGACTCTGAGGCCCCTAGGAAGGAAACCACCCAGCCATTTCCCCTGGGAATTGGACCTGCCTGTGGCAAATACTCATCTGGTGGTATTTCTTTTTGTGTGTGTGGGCTGTGCCCTAGTGGAACATGGAACATTTTGAAGGCCAGGACCTTCTCAGACTCTATCTAGTCATTTGGTAGCTTTTCTGGTACTTGGAGCCCCTCTTTAGTGAACTATGATTGTCATATTCTCTTCTTCCATCAGGCCACCCAGAGTGAGAGGTAAGAGCTCATTTGGGAACATCATAAAGCTCTGGAAGCTTGGTCTGTCTTGTACTTGAGATTACTTAGCATCTCCTTCTCTCTGCAGAACCCCAAGGAGTGGACCAAGAAAGTAATCAGGAACACTGTCTGCTCACGCAAGTTCTCCAGTGACCAGACCATCATGAAATATGCCTGGGACATTTGGATCATAGAGCCCTCTGACCTATAGATTCTGCCTCCCAACATCCCCAGGTAGTAGGTCCTAGCACAGTAGGGACTAGTGGGCTTTTGTTTTATTGTTTACTCTGTACCTCATGCCATTTTCTGAGTACTATGTCAGCAGCCAGTGATTCCCTGCTTTTTTCAGTGCAATGTTTTAGGACAGGGTATATGAATGAATCATGGTGGTGGCTTGGGGTGGGTGGTGGGAGTATAGACAGACAAGGAAGGAGAGGTGCTAAGAGTGAGATGCTACCTGGTTTCTAGCAGAAAAGCAGAGCTCATAGCATTGACCAGCTGGCCCCATAGCTTCAACCTACCTACTGGGCTCCTCCAGGACCTTATACAAACCTTGCTGTGAGCTTGTTTTAACTTCTGAGCGTCTTGATTCTGGAGTCTGCACAGTTGGCCATGACAAAGCCTGGGGAATGTTTCTGCAGCACGTGGACTGGCTGCCCACTGCTGACTCAGCTCTGCCTCCTGTGCTCCAAGCCACCTTTACAGCTACCCAGTGGGACCCAGTGGCCCAGGGCTTCTGGACTGATGAGGTAAAAGGGCCTCAAGATGACTAATGGTGACACTGGGGAAGACACCTGTGTCCAGCATCTAGAAGGCCTTGGTTAGGATAAGGCTGGTTAATTCCAAGTTAGCTTGGTTTTGCTTTTTCAAAAGAAAAATTAACTTCACAAGAAAATAAAAGTAGCTGAAGCTTTTTTTTTTGGTTTAGTAACTAAAAGCTGTACTTTGGAAGTTTCATGTCAGGGAAGGCAATTTTGGAATGTTTCACCCAGCTGTGAGGGCCTGGGGCAGGGTTGTTGCCTCTAGTGAGGGAGGCTGAATGAATGCCTAGCTCCTACAACAGATCTGCACTTTCCCTCTCCTGGAGGGTGCAGTTTCTGTTTAACACACAAGGTCGGCCTCTCTTCTCCTTCCTGAAAAAGTATGGAGTGGGCCCAGAGGGCAGCTTACTTTCCACTCTGCCCAGGTAGCAGGCTGGTGCCAGGAAGGGAAGGTGAACACCTCCGAGGTCCAGAGGAGAGCTAGGAGCAGGTTGTTCCCTTCACTGTGAGTTGTTGGCAACCTTGGATGGAAGTGCCCTTCCAGAGGCTCTGTCCTCATCATAGGTCCTGACTGTTCACAGAACCAGGCCATGGAGGACTTCAAGTATATACTTCGTTCAGGCCCCTAGGGTCTATGATCACACCCCCAACACACTTCTTGCCCAGTCACTTAAGCTGTGTATGACCATCACTGTGCCACTCCCTCCACTCACTGTTATTGCCTCACATGTGAGAAACAGATTAAATCTTACTGCCGTGTTTGGTCGACCTGGCCTCTACATTTCACTTTGCGTCAGCCTGGGGCAATAAGGGGCTGGGCTAAATTACAGCCCATTGTTCTGGGATTGAAGACAGTAAATTCTCTCATCCCAGCTGTTGTGGAACTTAAAGCTGTGTGTGTTTGAACTGCCAGCTCTTCAAAGAATTGTGAAATCTAGTCATTTGGTAACCTGTCCTGGGCATTAGCATTTTTGCTATGAATTGTATTGGCTTTTACACCTGTCCTTGCCACCACTCCTGGTCCTGGGAGGTAGAATGCCCTGGGAACCAAAATACTGAATGAAATATGGTCCCCAAAACTGTATAGTTGCAAGTTGAAACAAAAACCAGTAGGGAAGAGAACTCAGGGCTCAATGTCTCCCAAAGACCCTGATAACTGTGAGACCTTGGAGCATGGTAGACCATTGCTGGGGGCAGTGGCACTGTGAGTTTCTTCTGGGAGGGGGTGCTGAACTGTACCTTGGGAATGTGCATTGCCTGTCCCTGTCCTATGGCTCCCAGGAAATATGCATGTAACTGCAATTCACAGCTATGCACACTGCTATCTCTTCCTTTTTTTTTTAAAGGACTAGTCCTGACCATACATTGATCTTATAATCCAAGGGTCCAGTCCTTACCCACAGTTTAAGCTTAGTTGCTTGGACCAAGGTACTATGCTATGAAGCCATCAGGGCTCTTTGGACCTAAATGAGATGATGGCCCAGCAACTGCCTGTTTGCCCAGTTCCTTTTTTGTGCTTCCTCATCTTCAGTTGGCCTGTCAGCCAGCTATAAAAACACTTAACAGCCTGTATTTTTACTTTGTATCCTACCTATATCATTCCCCTCAAAAAAGGATCTGAGGCAGCTCATACAAACACAAAATTTAAAACAAAAAAAACAAGATGAAGAGGCCAGGCAGAACAGGCAGGTCTCACAATATGAGCGGATCACACCCACTTCCTTGGCTGAGAAGAGCTGAGGACTTGACACTGAACCTAGGTTAACAAACCCAGAAGAGCAAGCCAGTCATGAAGGGCTGTACAGCTGAGGGGGGCACATAGTGTTTTAGTGGTTCTCAGAGCCTCTAACACAGAGCAGTTACACAGAAAGATGCTCTTGGGCTGAGCCTATGTATGAAAGCTCTGACATACAGTGGTGTTTTGTAAAACACTGCCTGTAGGCAATGCTCACCTGAAACATACAGACTTCAGGTCAACCCCAGTTAAGAAAGGTATGCATTTCCCAGATGTGAAAATTGCCACAGCCGCCTCAGATGCTAACAGTGCCTTGGAGAACAGGCAGGCAGGCAAGACTTAGGACTTTGGGGAGAGGGCCAGCCATCTGGAGAGGCTTCATCTCTGGTGAGCTTATACCCTCTGAATGGCAGTCCCATTCTTATTAAGTCATGGTTCTCTGAGAGGTCATCATTGCAAGGGGAGGGGAGAAGCTGGTTTAAGAAAAAGCCAAACAAGAGCCACCACCATTTGGGTGAATGAGATGATGTTCATGGGCCAGAACTCAAGTCCCTCATTCCAGCAGCCTGTCCTTTCAGTAGTCAGGGACTTATTTAGGGTCTGGGTTAAAACCCCAACATCTGTCCATTGACACAGCCACATTCAATAAACTTGCTAAAGCATGAGGTTGAAAGGGTCACCTATATAGGTCTGTATTTTAGGCAAATGGTATCTGCCACATCTGGAGAAGGCCCCTCCCTGGAAGGAAACAAGAAGGGCCCTCATTCTCCACCTTACAGTCACCCTTCAGCCCATGTGGCCTGGGGTGGGGGCAGCACTGAAAAAGCAACACACAGACCACCACCAGGATTTTATTTAGTAAATGCTCAGTCTAGGGCCAGGTTAGACAGACAGGTGGGCAGAAAGCAGAGGAAGTACAGATCACAGGCACCTCCCCCGCATTGTGTGGTAGGGTCTGCCTAGGGAGGAAGGGAGAAGGCAAATGGGGTACACAGGGCAGGAGGGGATGATGGAACCATTAGAGTCCATTCTTATGTGCTGGGAAGAAAGAGAAGAACCCAAGTCTCACCATATTCTTGTGGATGGTCCTGGAAAGCTCAGTTTGGTCCCAGGAGCTTACTGCTTCCTGCTCTGTTCTCCATGCCCAGCTCAAGAAGTGTGAGATTGACCAGCTGGTGGCTAGCCTGCTGTGTCACTGTCTTTTCAACAAGAGCACAGGTTGTACAGCAGCAAGAAGAGAGGACCATATGCCTGCCACTCACATTTTCCACAAAAATCCATGCTCCTGGCAACCAGTCTGCTAGGGCCTCTTCTACCTGCCCTAGCTGGCATCGAAGTCCTCTCTTCAGGGGCATTGTAGACCCTGGCACCCGGGCTCCAGGGTGCTGGATTGATCAGAGGAACAGGGAGGAGGGCAGAGGTCTTCATGCTCCTTCAGGCAGTGAGCTCAGTGCTGGAGCTCAGGTTCAGACTTCCCCAGGAATTCCCTAGACCAGAGGATATCATCAGCCAAATCCAAGCCCAAACCAGAGATCCAGCCTCCCCTAATCCTTACACAACCTGTGTGAGGAGGAGGAGAAAAAGCCTGGAGGACAATAAGCAGGGCACCAATGGCACTGCACAGTCAAATCCTGACACACAGAAAGACCAGGTTAGGAACTGACCTTCTTTATTCAAACTTTATTCAAACTTATTCAAACTATACTCTGATCTAAGTTTTCTGTAATATATTCCTTTTCTGATGGGAAAAATCACAACCTCAGAGCAAACCCATACTTTTTAAGCTCATTTCCCCTGCTCAGCAACCCAGGCCCACGTGGCAAGTAATGGCAAAGTCCTGCAGAAATATCGCTTTCCCTCTGGAACTTACAAGGCAGCCAGAGGAGAGCTAAAGCATGAAGTAGAATTACACAGGGTTTGAAGGCTGCTGGAGGCAACATGAGCACTCCCAAGCTCAGAAGCCCCAGGGAAGTGAACTCATAGCCTGGGGACAAACAGGCTTTTCAGGAGCTGGCCCAGGCCAGAATGCCTGTGAGCTGCTTATGAGTGGGGCAGGACCTGATAGGTATGTGGTAAAGGAGTGAGGCCGGATGTACAAGAGTTGGGGAGCATGTGGGTGTGTGTGTGTGGGGTTCCTGTACATGGACATCTGTGTGCTGAGCACACTGCTGTGTGGATTATCTGTGTGGGCCTGCACAACCTATATCATGGGGAGATCATGGAAATAGTCCAGGAGGGAAAGGCAATAAACATTCTTAGCCCTTCTCAGTAGAAATAAGACTCTTGAACCCCATTGAGGCAGCTTTAGCAGATAAGCCTGCTATATATCTGGCCTGAGCTGTTGCCACCCAGGACAACATTCCTGGTGAGAAGTGAACACCTTACCTCAGTATCCGAGGAAGCTCGGGACTCTTGTAGATGTACTTGTGCCTATAGCCAAGGTCTGAGTGAAAGGGGATAAACTGAACTTTGAAGTCTCGGAAGCTTCGAGATGGTGCAGCAATGTTGTAGAGCTGGGGAAGGAGAGATCAGTCAGTGCCCAGATATGGCAGTCCTGTGGGTGACCTGCTTGATGGCCTCCCCTTCAGCTGAGGCCTATCAGTGGCTACTACCTCTGCAGAGCAGCCTATGCCCCTGAAACAGCACTGACGCCCTGCAGCTTACTATGGCTGGGGTCAGGGTGCTGGCAGGAGCCCAGCCTAGATTCAGCCCATTGGCTTGCCATTTAAGACCTTATCTGTTCCCACAACTGTTTCTCAGACTGTTCCCCCTTCCTTAGCAGGCAGTGAGGTGAAGGAGCTACCACCATAGAAAGAGCCACATGCTATGGGATGGTGTGGTGGTCTAAGAGCCTGGAGCAGTCCTGTGGGGCTGAGATGGGTCAGGTACCTCAGACTGCACTGTGTGCCTGGGGTCAAGGTCAGTCAACAAGCTGGTTCAGCCCTTACCTCCTCTTACCTCTGGGACTGCCAGGCTGTGTACCCAGATTCACTGGAGGAAAGAAATCTGGTGCTGGTAGACTCACCTCTACCTCAGGCCTGTTTGGAAGTGGAAGTAGCCTAGGTATCACTTCTAGGCTGTCCCTGCCCCTCATCATCACCATGGCCAGGTGGTGCTATATCTCACCCCACACTCACCTATGAATCTAATCCTGCTTCCTGGCACCAAAGGCAAAGCAAATTCTGCAAAAGCAAATAATGTGGAGGCCCCACAATGAGATGGTACTTCTCTGAGGTTGCCCAAATCCCAAAGGCAAAAGAACAAATGAGAGGTTCTATGTTAACACTACTGACTGGGACTCCTGAATTGGGACTGCAGAATCCTGCCATCCAAGGACCCTATTCTCCCACCAATAACTGGAGAGCTCTCCCAGATGAGTTTCCTATAGTCAATTCTCTGCTGGGCCAGGACCCTGTAACTGGGACCTGGGAGACATTTGCTTACTTTTCGTATTTCCTCTT